AGGAGTGAAACTTGAATGAACCAAACTAGGATGTGCGTCTCCTAGGGCAGAACTTAAATGACCCAAACTAGGAAGTGCATCTCATAGGGGTGATATCTCAATGTAGGAAGTGTGTCTCCTAAAAATATATAACCTGAAATACCTAGACTAGGAAGTGTGTCTCCTAGGGGTAAAACTTGAATTAACCAAACTAGGAAGTGCATCTCCTAGGGATAAAACTCAATTTAGGAAGTGTGTCTCCTAAAACAAAATATAACCAGAAATACCCAGACTAGGAAATGCGTCTCCTAGGGGTGAAACTTCAATAACTCAAACTAGGACGTGCATCTCCTAGGAATGAATTTAAATGACCAAAGCTAGGAAATGTGTCTCCTAAAAAGTATAATCTGAAAGATCCCTACTAGGAAGTGCGTCTCCCAATGGGTAAAACTTTAATGATTTCAACTAGGACGTGCGTCTCCTAGAGATAAATCTAAATGACCAAAACTAAGAAGTGCGTCTCCTAGGGGTGGAATTTCAATTTAGGAAGTGCGTCTCCTGATAGAAAATATAACTTGAAAGACCCACACTAGGAAGTGCTTCTCCTAGGGGTGATGTGTGATCTTCTCAATAGCCTTTGCGTAAGCAGAATTGGGGCATTACATCTGAAAAATTCAAGCTTCCAAGCTTTGATATGAACATACCTTTTATTCCTATTTCAGACAAAGAAAGCTTGTGAGTTTAAAACACGGTGGTTAGTTTGTGGCCTTGACCTTGAAGGCGGCTGCTTCTACACTTGTCATGGTAACTTTAATTTCACTTGGAAGACCTTGCATGTTATCGACTAACCATTTTATTTCAAACCTTATCACAGAAAACACCTCTGATCCATTTGAGCCTAATATCCTCTATCTGTTGCATTTTTCTCATGAATTGACATTTATCGAACCTTTGCATTTCACATGAATCCCAAAGCGCGTTGATTGTTACCAACTCAGTGCACATACTATTTTTTCCTGACTTATGCTACTTTGATGTGCTAGCCATATTCCGTTTTGTGCAATTGGAAAGTTGGTAGCAAATTTTGACATCATTTCTCACTTGTTCTGACCGAACAGACTCAAGAAGAGGAAGTAAACAAAACAAAAGGAACAGAGTAAAGGACAATGGAAAGAGATGATACCTAACAAGAAAATTACAAAGTAGAAACTTATCAGATGTGGATACCAACTCTAATGACCATGACATGCACCTTTGGATTAAGTGGCCTAATCTGCCAAGAAAGTCTAATTTTCAACTCTTGTTGTACCTTCGAGTCGTGAAACTGGGCTTTAATGCTCTGATTAAACTATCTGATTCACGATCCTTATTCAACTTGTAGTGCCTGAAGGGTTTTCGCCATCAGGCCTCTCTCATTTTTCTTTCTCTCAACTCACCGTCGCCTTATGGTGCCTGTGAAAGTTTTCACCGATAAGACTCTCGCATTTTTCTTGTTTTCTTATTTTCTCTGATTTTGCAGATGACAAGGCATTAACCACGATAGAAATATCATATGCTCTTGGCATGTTTGACCTGGCACTCTCAAAGATTATCTGGGAGGTAATCCATTCTAAAAACTTTGCCCCAATTTCTAAAATAAGGGAAGTTGATTCTTTTTTTTTCTTTTTTCTTTTTGAGATGGAATTTCTAAGAAAACGACCTCACTCTCGACTCCGTGGGATTATGAAATATTTTATTTGGCGCAACCGAACCTTAAGACTGCCTACGTATCTTGTGGTGACAAGAATCAGGTCGAACGTAGTTCAAAAGAATATTTTTTGTTACTAATTTTCTTTTTCTTTTTTTTTTGAATTTTCCTTTTGGAATAAACTTTCTAAAACAAACCTACGGGGACATGAGCTTTTTTTTATGACTCTAACTTGATTCCAAAAGAGGGGAGGTCAAGAAAATTAGCATAGGCTCAAAAGGGGTACGGAATGGTAAAAGTGTTTGGGTAGCTGAAAGAAGGTCTCCCAATCCCAGAAAATGCCAAGTATAACACATGCAACTTGAGAATGAAAAAGAAGATCATGCACAATATTTCTTTTGCAGCTTCGGCATTGATATCACTGATATGCCTTCCACTTTTCTTTAGTGCCTTGTCAAGTACAGAACTCTCGTTGGGTAATTTCTTCTTCACAATGGATGCCCTCCGTCTGTTCGGAGCAAACTCCCTTGGCTTTATCTTGTTACTTGAGATGCACTTGAACTCAAAGTTGCTCGCTTCAAATTGTGGGGACGCACTCTCTTGTAACAAATTCTTGTCGTCCTATTAGCTTCCCAAACTATCTGCCCCAGTTCACACAATTCGGGCTTTAAGTGATCTCAAAATGCCTTTACTTATTTCCCTCAAATGTTCATCTTCAAAACTTGTTTCATTGCTCCATGATTAGACTAACTTTTAAGACCAGGCTATGAATTACGCGTACATGTCATGTCACTAGAGTCAGCATGAAAAGAACTATAAAAGGGAAAGGAAAACTAAACGAAAACTAACTAGAAATAACAGAAAATAGGAAATTGCATTAGACAGATGCTGAAAGGGTTTGAACAACAAAACAAGCAAAATATACGGGGGTTACAACCCTGGAAAAACCTAGATAACACTAAACGGGCTACTACGACTAAATAAACTAGGCAAAATAAAAGGATAGAAGGGTTTGAGTCACAAGACAATATCCTAATTACAACCCTAAAATAACCCGGACAACAGAAATGACAACAAAATAAACCATCAGGACTCCTCCCGGCTAACCAAGAAAGGAGCGTCTTTCCAATTACCAAGCTCGACATCTTAGCCACTGAGTTCCACATTAATATTACCAAGACCATTACCAATTTAAATATCATTAACATCAGTCAGCAAGTTCCCAAGAGGATTCTCATACTCCCTGTCACCACGCATCATCCCCACAAAGTGTGCATCATCATGTGCAGGTAAAGGATTCTGCGCGATATTATGGGTGTCACTGTCCTGGATCACAATTATCCCTTCTTGAATCATTCTTTCTATTTCCCTTTTCAAAGTATGACAATCTTCAATGCTATGCCCTTGGACACTAGAGTGGTACATGCACCGTACAGTAGGATCAAAACCTTTTGCATATGGGTCCGGAGTATAGCTGAGGAGCGGCTCAATCATGCCAGAATGTTTTAACTTTTCAAACAAGCTTGTGTAGGATTCTCCGATTGGCATGAAACTATTTATTTTCCTTTGTTCCCCTCCATGCCCTAGTTTTCTAGGGTTGTTGGATCTTGAAAATATTGTGAAGGCAAAAGTATAATACGCGGTGTTGGCGCTTGCCATAAAGAGTGACCAGTGGTTAGACAAATGACCGGACATTATTCGGAGGACAACACTGAGGTGGATTATGTGGAGCTTGTTGATAGATTTGGGGTTGGGTCGAGGCTGGGTATATTGGTGAGGTGGACCCGTTGGGCCATGTAGTGATCCTGAGACAACCATGGCAATATCATCATGTTCCCTCTGACCCAGCAAGCTTCCTATGTCGCTCTGAATTGCTTGTATTGTGGCTTTTAAAACATAATAGCTCATGATCTTGCTCAACTTCAGCCCATCTTCTACCATTTCTCCCATTTTTACCACATCATTAAAAGGCTTACCCACAGCCGAGATCAAATGCCCAAAGTAAGTAGGCTCTTGGGCTTGAAGAAAGTACTCGACCATCTCGTCTTCTTCCATCGGGGGATTGACTCGGGCAGCTTTCTCTCTCCATCTGAGCCCGTATACCCTAAAGCTTTCATTAGGCTTCTTTTCCACCTTAGTGAGGGACATGCGATCCGAGACAATTTCTATATTGTACTGAAAGTGCCGGGCAAAGGCTTGAGTCATATCATCCCATGTATACCACTTGCTAGTATCTTGACGGTTGTACCATTCCAGGGCTGCACCGCTCAAACTTTAATTGAAATAGGCCATGAATAGCTCGTCCTTCTCTCTAGTGCCTCTCATTTTACTACAATAACCTCTCAAATGGGCCACAGGATTGCCATGTCTATCACACAAATCAAACTTTGGCATCTTAAACCCAGCATGGAATTGGACGTCAGGAAACAAGCACAAGCCTTTGTAAGACACGCTCACCTTGCTCCCTATCCTTTGTATGTTTCTTAAAGACTGCTCTAAAATTTTCACCTTCTTGGGTATCTCATCTTGCTCCACTGTCTTAGCAGGCTTTTTAGTTTCACCGGGAGGCTCAAAATGAGGAGTGTAAGACTATACCTGAGACCATGAAAGTTGGTTTCGACGCATAGTATTGGGCATCGGGGACTTTGAATATGGTCTCGCTAGAGGATCGAGGAAGGGTAGCTTGTGGAGGAGCTACAAAAGCATGAGTGGCTAGAGGAGCGGGATATGAGGTAGTTTTGGCAACGAACTAGAGCATCCTGAAGCACTAAAGTGGCTATGAATCCCTCCGGGACTTGAGTTGGTCCGACGGGTACAGCCTGAACTAGAATCTCCTACTCATGATCAATCAGAGGCTCCACTGTGGGTGCTGCTGCTTGAGCTCTAGGCTAAGCTCAGCCTCTATCTCGGCCTCGACCTATGCCCCTATTAGCAGTTGCAACAGGGGGCTCCGGCTTCTATCTGGCGGTAGATGCAGTGAGAGAGCAAGAATATAATTTTTCATTCAACAATGATCGAATAATATCACATGATAGAGAAAGAAAGAAGTGAAACTTTTTCTAAACTCCGTGGCCTCTAGAAGATAAGTACAGACGTCTCCGTACCGATCCTCCAGACTCTACTAACCTTGCTCATGACTCTTGAGAGCTAGGAACCTAGTGCTCTGATACCAACTTGTCACGACCCGGAATTCCCACCCTTGGGACCGTAATGGAACCTAACATTTCACTTGTTTGGCAAGTCAACGTTAGATAATTTATAACCATTCAAATTAAATAATAACCAGGAAAATGAATAAGAAAGAAATTAAGTGAGAAAATCATAACAACAGCGATATCTAGATACAATCCCTGAACTAGTGTCACAAGTACACGAGCGACTAGAATAATACAAATAATTATCTAAATGAAAGTATAACTATCTGAAGTGAAATAAACAGCTAGAATAATGTAGAAGGGGACTTCAGGGCTGCGAACATCGAGCAGCTAAACCTCAAGTCTCCATCATCCAATCAATCCGAGCAATATACTGATCGCCGCTTGGACCGACTCTAAAATCTACACAAGAAGTGCAAAGTGTAGTATAAGTACAACCGACCCCATGTACTATATAAGTGCCGAGCCTAACCTCGACGAAGTAGTGACGAGGCTATGGTGAGTCATTTATAATAACTTGCACGTTGTATAATAATAATAACAGGAAAGGAATACAGGAAAAGTAACGCAGTTAACTTGTGAAAATAAACTCAATCCTTGAAATCAGTAAAACCAAAAACAACAGTCCTCAGAATCTCGTATGAAAACATCAAAAGCTAACACAATGCAACAATGAATACAAAATACACAATTCGTTGCGGCACGCAACCCGATCCCACCGTACAAATACAACCCTCCCTTATTTCACCATATAAATATGAAGAATAAAATATAAAATCTGTTGTGGCACACAACCTGATCCCACCATATAATCAGAATCAATATCATAATCCTCCCTTATTTTGCCATATTAAAATCACATATAAAATCCGTTACAACGTGCAATCCGATCCCACCATATCAATATCAATCCTCCCATATTTTACTCATTGCGGCGTGCAACCCGATCCATAAAAAATCAATAAATATAATCAATTCAACAACTCAATTCACAAGAATCTCGTACCAAATCAAGGAGTGCTACAATTAGTACAAATCAACAAGACAAGCCAAATATATGGCTATTAAAGTGTACAAGTACGACAATTAAGATAAGTAGAAATTAATCATAGAAGCATGGAAGAAACAAACATTTTACTACGAGAGTAATAAATGACAAGCAGCAAGTTCAGGCATAGAAAGCAATTAAAGCATGTAACACTTAAGACGTAGAATAAAATAATTAATGAAATACGGACAAGCATAGATATAACTATTTTGATGACGTATATATACTCGTCACCTCGCATATACGCCTCTACACATGTAATTCACATAACACATAGCTCAAGTGGTCCTAATTCTCTCAAATCAAGGTTAGACCCAATACTTACCTCGCTCCGCAAGCAAATCAAAGCTCAACCGGGGCCTTTCCTCTAAAATTCGCCTCCGAACCAACTGAATCTAATGAAAATTGATCTAATATCAACAAACAATAATAGGGAAATCAATTATAATACATAAAAATAAGATCTTTATACTTTTCCCTAAAAGTCAACAAAAGTCAACCCTAGACCCGCTTGGTCAAAAATCGAGATTCGAACCAAAACCCAGTTACCAATTCACCCCGAGCCCAGTTATGTAATTAGTTTTGAAACCCGACATCAATTCGAGGTCTGAATCCCAAAATTTACAAAAATCCCTAATTTTACCCAAATTCCTAATTTCTACCATGAGAATCCTCGATTTGATATTAAAATCTTATGAAATATAATGGGTAATTAAAAGGAAGTAGATTAAAGTCACTTACCAATGTACTTAGGAAGAAGATCACTTGGAAAAATCACCTCTAGGGCATTTAGAGTTGAGAGTGTGAAAAATGAGCTAAATCCCGTTTTCTCAGCTTTTTGTCCAGGCGCAGATGTCGCAAATGTGACATGGGGTTCGCGAATGTAAAGAATCCATCGAAAATGCGAGCAATCCCACATCTCTGCTTTCAGTGCAAATGTAATGATTTGTTCACAATTGCAAACCTGGACCCTCTGCAAAAGCAACTCAGTGATCACAATTACGGCCAATACCCAGTCCAGGCCATCATCGCAAATGTGATAGGGAGTTCGCAAATGCGAACTCTTCAGGCCACTGTGCTCTTAGCAAATGTGAGCATGAAGCTTGCAACTGCGGCTGTCGCAAATACGACTAATTTCTCGCAAATGTGAGATCTGAGCACCAACAAAAATCTGATCTCCTATGAATTCTTCGAAACACGTCTGAAACTCACCCGAACCCTCGGGGCTCCAAACCAAACATGCACACAAATGTAATAACACCATACGAACTCACTTGTGCTATCAAAATACCAAAATAACACTTAGAACTACGAATCAAATTCCAAAATGAATGAAATTTTCAAAGAAACTTAAAAACATGCAGATTTACAACCAGACGTCTGAATCACATTAAATCAACTCCGTTTTGCACCAAATTTTATAGACAAGTTATAAATACTTAAATGAACCTATACCAAGTTCCGGAACCGAAATATGAACTAGGTAGAAATAAAGTCAACCTTCGGTCAAACTTAAAAATTCTTTAAACATTTAAATTGATAGTTTTCAACAATTCACATTAACTCAATTTAGGGACTTCCGAATTATATTTCGGGCATATGTCCAAGTCTCAAATTACGATGTGGACCCACTGGGATTGTCAAAATATTAATCCGGATTCGTTTATACAAAACATTGACCGTAGTCAACTTAAATGAGTTTTAATGAACGATTTCACATTTTCATCAATTTTCTCATAAAAACTTTTCGGAAAAAGGACATGGATTACACACGCAAATCGAGAAAGGGTAAACGAAGCTATTAGAGGTTTCAAAATACAGAAATAAAGGGTAAAACAATAAAATAAAATTGAATTCAGAAGTCCCTAACTTGGCCGAAGTCAACTCAAATTACGATACGGACCCACCGGGACTGTCAAAAATATTAATCCGGATCCGTTTATATAAAACATTGATCGTAGTAAACTCAAATGAGTTTTAATGAATGATTTACATTTTCATCAATTTTCTCAGGAAAAAAAATTGCGGAAAAAGGACATGGATTATACGCGCAAAACGAGGAAGGCTAAACCAAGCTATTAGAGGTTTTGAAATACATAAATTAAGGGTGAAACAATAAAATAACCTATCGGTCTTCACACATGAGTCCACTTGTCAAATAATAAAGAGCCTCATATAAGTATGAGTTGGCATATGAGACACAAAATAAAATTTTTCTAAGATAGGAATTAGAACTTTGAATGATTAATGTTTATATCGAATTACATAAGTTTATTATGATTATATGTTAAATTAATATGAGAATAAATATTCATTAACTATAAGAGTTAAAAGTGCATGTATAAAAAATATGAATACAAACCCTACAAGCATCCCTAAAAAAATATTCCTATATAACAACTATCCATTATAAAAGCTTAAATTTTCTTAGAATCAATTTTTTGTATTATATTTTACCTCTGTATAACAGTTTTCTGGTGGGCCTTACGGAGAGTGTGGCCCAGACCGATACTGTCACGCCCCGGACCTGGGGAGGCGTGGCTGGCACCCGATGTTGTAGTGGCCCGAGCGAACCACTCTGTAACTCATTCATTCCTTTTTATAACTATCATGGGCCAACATGGCTACAACTCGCAATGTATAATTGTAAGTGGGAAAACAGTGTATCCCTGAATCATTTTTCTTAAAACATGAATACATATGAGCTATCAAGGCCTGTAACATACTGTACAAACTGAACTTCTATCTACAAAGCATCTAAGATTAACTAATATCAAATGGGACAGGGTACCGGCATACCTGTAAATCTGTAGCAAAATTCTGACACGATGACTCATAGACTTGGTTGCACTCCGAATGAGGTGGAGTCTTACCGATCCTTCGTTGAATGCCAATCTCGTCTACTATGAGGGCTCGTCAACTGATTATCTAAACATGCAGGCATGAATGCAGCGTCCCCAACAAAAGGACGTCAGTACGAATAATGTACTGAGTATGTAAGGCAGAACCGAAACATAACAATAACTCAACATTAATTTAAGACATTGAAGGAACTTGGAGTGAAGGACTCAACCTATAAGTCTGGATAACTCTGTAAATCATGTAATACTTATAGTGTCATGCATATGCTTATGAATGTCATGTCGTGCATAGGTACGTGTGTTCATAACGTCATCAAGACTCTGATGGCATCCCATCATATCATCTCGGCCATTGTCGGCAAAATCATCATGTATACTAGCTGATCAGGTGGTGGTACGTATATAACGCCGTAACCTTTTTCCCATATCCCGTATACATATATTTACATATATACGCATATATAACGCCCTCTGGTGCCACTGTGGGTAAAATCATCAACGTATACAAGCTGATCAGGTGGTAGTACGTATATAACGTCGTAACCTTTTTTCATATCCCATATACATATATATACATATATACGTGTCTATAACGCTGTCTGAGTAATGGGTAAATGCACATGTAAGTGAATGCAATGCATGAGAAATACGTTAATAAAATATTTCGGAATGTCATAAAACCATTATGCTTGCCTACCTTGCTCTTTGGCCTTGTGTTGTATGGATGAGTTAACTTAAGAACCACAAACCAACCACCCTTTTGCTCAATAAAGATAACAAAGAGGAACAAAATAAACTCATCACATTGGCGTTAGGGCATTTAACCTAAGATAATCTCACATTATGTGCAATGCACATAATCATAATTATCGGTTCTAAAATGACTTCGAGGGTGGGAAGTCAACTTGGCATCATCCCAATTTTACTTCTCTTGCCCCTATTTTCTTAATTTTCTCTCTTGCGCTCCTTGATTTGCTCGTTTTCTTTCCTCTCTTTTTCTTTTCTCTCATTTCTCACATCTCATAACTTCATCTCTTTTTTTTTCTTTTTGTTCCTATTTAAAAAAAACGATTCGATCGAATTCTATGTAGGTTGCATACGTATCATGACGCCGCATGAATCAAATCTTTGCGTAGTTCGGGAAGATCGGGAATAAAGTAAATAAACTAACTCTTTTTTTTATTTTTTATTTTTTTGATTTTTTTTCGAAAGAAAGATTTATAAAGAAGAAAGATTGTTTTTTAATTTTGAGTTTTTCCCTTTTTTTCTTTTGGCATTTTGTAAAAAAAACTTCTAAAGAATAAAGAAAATGTTTTCAAATTTTTGGACTTTTATGATAAAATCATGAAAGAAAGACTTATAAATAAAAAAATATTATTTTTTTTTTGAATCTTGAATTTTCTTTTCAATTTTCAAAAATATTTTTGGATTTTTAGAGGAAAGTAAAAGAAAATATTTTTGGATTTTTTAAAGATTGGGGTCTCAAAAGAAGGCTTTTCTAAAGAAGAAAGTAAAGAAAAATATTTTTAGATTTTTAAAAATTGGGGGCCGGAACCGATGAGGTTTGCCTAAATATCTTACATCCGGTGAGAATCAGACACGCGTAGTTCGGCCAGTTTTGACGGAACAGAGGAAACATGACTTTTGAAAACATTGACTTACTTTCTTTCTCTTTTTTTCAAAATTTTGTAGAGTTTCAAAATTTTTCAAATACCTACTACTCGCTCTTGTTTTTTTTCTCTTTTTTTTCATTTTCTTTCCCTATTCTAGAAGCCAGTCAACATGCAAGCCGAAACAAACAGATACACAGGTAGCACGTAAGATGCATCAGGATGGTCTTTTAGTTTGGGTACAATTGTCCTAGACAGACCTAACCCCTATATTGAGTCCCCAAAGTCAAATGCACATGATGCAAACAAGCGTTCCTACTAGGGATCCGTCATAAGGCTATGTTATTCTAGGTTTAAAACCTGGGTGTATTATTCTAGACATGGCTTACCCGAGCGGACAACTCGAGCCGAGGGGGGCAGTGTACCGAGAATACAGAAGCTTCACCGGCTTTGCAACTTATTCGAACCTCGTTCTAAAATTGGGATATGAATCTAATAGAAAAGAAGTCATACGAAGTGCACGCTTCCCAAATGATTTAGAAAACTCAGAGAGAAGAGGGTTTCGTAACAGTTTATATACAGTCCAAGCAATATCAAAGCGGTAAAAAGCGATATTAGCACATTAGGCTCAAACACGTAAAAGTCAGATAATAAATAAAAGCCAACTATAACAGTTATTCTAAGCTCGAATTCTGAACCCTGAACCAGAGGTTCTGGGTTCTTTTCCCCAGCGGAGTCACCAGAGCTGTCACACCTACTTTTTCTAGGAGGAATATGGAGCTTTTCCAAGTAAAGTGACAATAATCGAAATGAGATTATTTATTTAATTTCAGAGTCGCCACTTAGGATAATTTATGGTGTCCCAAGTTACCGATTTAGAATCCCGACTCGAGGAAGTTTGACTCTGTTTTACAGTCCGTGAAACACAGAAATCTGGGTAAGAAATTCTGTTAACCCGAGAGAAGGTGTTAGGCATTCCCGGGTTCCGTAGTTTAGCACGGTCGCTCAATTATTAATAATTGACTTAATTATCTAATTTAATATATAATTAAACTTATTGTGCATTTTTAACCTTTTCGCCTCTTTTAATGTTTATGGAATTATTTTCTGGAACAAGGCACGATGTCGTACACTTGTTGTTTTGGTATATATTGCAAACCGCATCACATGAAATGCACCCGCGATTTACAACATGTTTAACTTATTATTGTTTGAAATTATAAGGTCGAGTCACGTGAAACGCACTCGAATGAGATTTATGTATCGCGACCATGCCACGGGAACCGTACCCATGGTCACGATAATTTATTAATCGCGCCTGAAGCAAACTATGACATTCATAATTATCACCCTAAACTAATTTGGGATTGTTGTAAGGCCGGTATTTATGAAATTATGGAGTTTAAACTTGGACGAAATTTGATGTATTAAGACTAATTTGATAGATTCCAACGTACTGCAGTATTTACGAAGGAAAGGTCTCCTAAAGAGTCTAAGTCAATTACTTCCTAAAGCTCTTTCTTTACTAAAACTTAACTACAATCACTAAAATTAATATAACTCATGAGTTAAAAGAAGTCCATCAACATAAATACGTAAATTCACAACCTCAAACATTCGTTAAAGTATTTTTGGGATAAATTAAAATACCAAAAGAATAATGAAACAGAAAGGAAAATTGTCACAAAATCAAGACAACGGACCAACCAAAAACGAGCATTTACTAAAATAACAATACAACCCAACGTAGTATGAAACATATTCAACATGGTAGGGAACAAAATCTAGAATCACTCAGAAACACACACTTATTCGTATTAGGAAAGTTAAATCAAAAATTTATTTCAATTAATTTTATGCAGAATATGAAGGCGTGAAACTTCATCTCAGAACGACCATAATTCCAGACGTGAAAGAAAAGGGAAGAAAGAGATGAACCTGAAATTATAACTTTGATTAACTTTCGCCTTTGAATATACAATAAGAAATCTGGCACCGGAATTCGTGCGTCCAGTAGCAAACAAACAAAACAATGATAAAATGGATTTGGAACCACAATCAAGAACCTTACGAGCAGTCGACGGACCTCAGCCGAAAATCTTCTCTTAATTTTGGTTGTTCCCCTTCTTCCTCTTTTCTGTTTTGATTTCAATTTTCTTCCCCTCTGTCTCTCTGTTACCATTCCTCTCTATTCTTCTTTTGTTTTCTTTTTTATTGTCATGTCTTTTTGGTCTTTGNAATAGTAAGATAAGGGAGGCACGGGGGCTGCGGACGCCAACAGCTACCTCGTAGTCTCCGAAAAGCAATGCCTGGACTAGGAGGATCAGCACTCAGAAGCGGACTCTGCGATGCCTGAATCTGCACACACAGTGTAGGGAGTAATGTGAGTACTCCGACTCAGTGATTAATAATCATAAATAATGGCTGAAAGCAAGAAAACACGTAAAGGCACAAAAAAATTCTATATCAAGCAGTAAGATCACTTAAAGCAGTAAATCCATGAAGAAGTCAAATGAAATTCCTTTAAACCAAGTAAAACAGGTAATTTGGCAGGTAAATAACAAGTAGAAATACGCCCCTCGGGCACAGTAACAATCGCTCAGAATAGTATCAGCCCTTCGGGCACACTCTCAGATCATGATAGGTACGCGCGCTCACTGTGGGTGTGCAGACTCCGGAAGGGCCCCTTACGGCCCAAGCGCTATATCAAGCCACCTCGTGGCATCATCTCTAGGCACTCAGCCTCATATCACTCAAGCCACTTCGTGGCATATAAATTATCTCAGGCCCTCGGCCTCATATCACTCAGCATATCCTGACATATGGCTCTTGGCCTCACTCAGTCCGAAAATCAACACAAGCCCCTCAGGCATTTGTAAAACAGTAGTTCTCAGCCCAAAACATCATTTAGAAATATCATTTAAGTTTCAAATCTGAGTAAAAGTGGCTGAGTTCGTAAAATAGTAGATACCAACAGGACTGAGTTCAAATAATAAGTCAAAACAGTGATAAAAATCCCCGAAGGATTCAAATAGTTGGTACGAAGCCCAAATAGCAATCAGCCCAAATCATGATGATAACAAATAAGTTTCAGTCAAATACGCGGTAAAATCATTGATCAGGACGGACTAAGTTGCAATCCTCAGTAGTAAAAGATCCCACGCTCTTCATCCAATGCGTGTCTCACCTCAATATAGCACTACGATGTACAATCCGGGGTTTCAAACCCTCAGGACATCATTTACAATCATTACATACCTCGAACCGGCTACAACTCTAGCTCGTGACGCCTTTGCCCCTCTAATCGGCCTCCACGCACGTCGAATCTATCCAAAATCGGAACGAATACGTCACAATATGCTAAGGGAACAAAG